GCTGGTACCCATTGCATGGCGACATTTTTGTTGTGTTGGTCAAGCCTGTGAAGGGCTTGACGACAATGTAGAATGTCGGCAGATGCGGGGGCTTTGGAGGAAGCAATAGCTTGGAGTGCGGCTTTGGAGTCAGAGAGGATGACTACGTTATTAAATTTCTCAAGGTGATTCTGTAGTTGCGACAGAGCTACGCTTATTGCCGATACTTCTGCATCGAAGGCTGTTCTAGACGAACCGATCGGGGTGTAAAATGAAAAAAGGTTGCAGGAAACTCCGGCTCCTGCATTAGTGCCTTCAGCCAATCTTGAACCGTCTGTGAAAATATGTAGCCATTCGTTCTCTGGGTACAGTAAGTGCAAAGTCTCCAGGGCGATAGATTTTAAGACTTGATCATTTGTGCCTCTCTTGGAAACATCTTGACACAGGTTTAAACTCAGTGAGTATCTCTCTTTTTCGATGGGGCACGGTGATCTAATAAGGTCTTCTGTTTTCCAAGTGATATTTAGTTTGTCTTTTATTTCAACGACTCTTTGGAGCAAAGCTGATAAGATAAGTATCTTCATTTGGGCAAATTACTTCCAAACAAGATTACGGCTTTAAACGGTTTACTATATTTGGCTATCATCTAGTTAATACGAATCCTATACGCAGAATTTTACTTTGCTGTGGAAAATAAAATTCGTTGCCAACTTAGGTTCGCTTTTGGTTCCTCAACTTTTTTACTCCAAAAATGTCCAATAAATCCAAAAAATTTGAGCTGAGTTAAGTAACGTAATACATTTTGATGTCGTATGATAACAATGTTATTGGAGAATTTCAAAGACAAAAATACTTCGTAAAAAAGTAGCATAACTGAAATTAATAGTTAAACACTTTTTTATCTCACTAGTCACACTAAGAAGTCATCGCAGTTAAGTCGTTGTTTTGCTTACATTAACTTGCTTCAGAACAGCTTTTATAAATCCACATTGTTAAGATAGTCTTACGAAGTAAATCTGCGTCAGTTAAGGCAAAATTAAATAACTTGTCTACAGTATTAACTATTATTATATAAATAACTTATCTATTATTATATAAATAACTATATACATTAACTATGATCTCAATAAAAACATTAAACAGACATTCTTCAGAAATATCAAACCTGAATTTTGCACTCAAGTTATCGTCTAAAATAACTGTCCTTATAATAATTTTTCATTTATCGTTCCTAAATTGTTATATACTATATAAGATAATTTGTCAGCCACTAGTAGGCTGCACACCATGGATCAAAAATTAGAAATCTTTACTTAAGCATTGGGCGTGCGACACATTCTTCTGTTAAATGTAATGTTCGATTTTATAATTTTAGTAAATGTGAGAACTATAGTTTAATGTCCAGAATTTTCTGCAAATCGTTGCCAAAAACAAACAAAAAAAATATCAAACAAAGGATTTAAACAATTTAGATTTTGGGGTTTATCACCGGAATATCTGATTTTTTTTTCTTTCTTTTTTTAAACTGAAATAATTTTGCCATAAATTGGAAACGTGAATTTACCTTTGAAATAGATTTTTTTTCTCATTTTAAAAAGTTAAAAATCTTCATATAAAAAGCGAGTAATCTGATTTGCTTGATATTAAAAATTTCAGCTTAATATCAATATATTTCATTTGCAAATTGCTGTTCCGAACCTTTCAGTCTCTGTTGCGTTTTCTTCATTGTTTTAAAAAACTTTAGGACAGCTAAATATGAAAACATTTACAACAATACTTGAGAGAGTTAAATAAAACTTTATTCATTTGTATATTGTTTAAATGGTTCTTCTAAAACATTGTTGCCGAAAATGATCATTGTTAATCACACCAACAAAGTAACAAAAAATATTAATTCATCATTCTTATTTGAGCTTTTATAAGTGAATAACGTCTTTTTTGACAAGTGACTTATAATTTGTGAAAATGAGTGAACTTTTTCGTTTTGCTGTGCTTAATCACTGGCAAAAAGAGTTGATAAGAAATCCAAGGCCTTATCGTAAGTATGAAAACTATTAATTTCATAGATTTTCAGTAAAAGATAAATTTCGAAATATCAAAAAATCTTGATTAGGATCTATCTAAGACTTTTTGGAACTAAGCAGGAAGTGGTGATATACAATATTAGAAGTCTATATTGCTTTGTGTGAGACAATCCCTAACTTCTTCAATGTGTGATTTCATTCAGTGCATAAATGTTTTAATATAATCTTGTTTGAAAATCCTTGAAAATGAATTGAATTAAAATATGAAAATTCTTCCACAAATTGAAAATGGAAGTATTAAAATAAAATGAAAAACTTCAAATAGAAATAGAAAAGAAAAATATGAAATAACTGCTATTATTTGTGCAAATACAAATATATTATTACCTTTTAATGATCTGAAATTCGATTTTTTTTAAAACTATTTTATATTCTGAAGAATGAAAAAAAATTTTAAAGCTACAACTTATTTTTCCTTTATTATAAATTAAAATAATAATATACTTTTATAAAGGTTTTTATCGCTGCAACACACGTTACACTGTAAATCATTACAGATCAAATTTAGGTAAAAACTACCGGCACTTTGGGTGCATCATGTGTAAAATACATGACAACCTGGATGACGATACTTTCTTATGATGAAATTCATTTTTTCCGGAACATCTCAAGGATCAAAATATTTTTGCAATAATTATTTCCTTAAAATCACTGAATCATTTATATTAAATAAAGAATCATTTATGTTAAATTAATATTACTATAAAAATTACGGCATAATATTTTACGGTAAAAATAGATTTTAGCGTAAAATTTGTTTTACGAATAATGCACCAATAGTACCAATACTTTGTACTGTCATTTTATTCGGAATTTCTAATTGTAGAAATAATGTTACTCTGTTTAAAAAAGAAAACATATTATGATTTATTTTATGAAAAATAAAGTTATAAACTTTTAAAATTATATTCATAATCTTATAAGCTAACAGAGACATTTTTATTTCATTAATAAAATTAAATACCTAAAAGCAATAAGCAATTATAATTTAAAGTGACATTTTGTCACATTTAATTAGAATAATTAACACCTAATTATGTAGTCTTATCACCTTTCTTCATATTTCAACCAAATCTTAAACATTAAAAAAAGAGTATTTAAGTCCACTTTAATTCGTGTAAATTGTAAGTGTATTTTAAACTGAAGAGTGTTTCGTTATTATACCGTTTCGTGAGCAGTACTAAAGCCGGTTTATACTCGATCTACAATATATATCTATATTAGGTTAATAGGAACCTATCTCAAGAATATAAGTATTAGCTTATTCATTAATAACCATGATTGGTATTACTAATAGTTAAAGGATATTTTTGAGGCCCCCGAAATGGGATAGTGCTAGTATTCCTAATGTATTTTTTAACAAAACATTTAAATTATTATCCATGTGGAACGGAAGTTCTAAAATAAAATTAAAATCATCAAAAAGATGTTTAGAAAAAAAAAATTTATATGTGTTTTCATAAAGATTCATTACTTTTGAATAAATTCAGATAGATCACTTAGTTTTTATGTATTTCAGTCAAATCTTTTTTTTAGGTTCCTTTTTAATTTCAAGCAATTACACATTAGTTAAAAACTATAATATTATTTCTTCTCAATATGAATTTATGCTATATATAGCAACAATTCTTAAATGTGGTATAGACAATGTTGTATAGATCTATATTAAATAGTTTTTTTTTCCTCATGAAATGAGCTCGGTTACACAGTTATTATCATTCCAATTATGTTTGAAAATTTAGTTACAATTATTCAGCTTGTGGTTGATTATTCAGTTATTATATGTTTAACTATTATAAAGCATTTTTTAACCCAAATTTAAAACAGTCAAATAGAAGCTAAATTAAAATTTAATTTATAATCTTTTTTCAGCTCCTGGATTTCTTGCAGAGAATACCAGTAGTAGTTCATCTGACACAGATGGGTAAGTATTTGATTTAAATTGCGAAATAATATAATTTCTTCAAGGAAAAAATGGTAATTTTTTAAAGTTAAAGACATAAATGAGTAAAAAACAAATAAATATATAAATAAGAAAGAAAGAAAGAAATATAAAGAAAAAAATCTCTTAGAAGAAGTGCGAAGAAACTATCGTATTTAAATAATTTAGATTAAATATAAATATTTGAAAAAAATATTACATTCGATTTTGCCCTTAGAACACGTAATATGGAAAGAAAATATCAAATGGGAGTATCGAAATAAAATGTTAATATGAAAATGAAAGCTATGTTGAGAGTTATTTTTAACAAAATTTATTTCATTAATATTAACTTGGCATTTAACTAGTCTTTATAATTTCTTAAATAAGAATTGAGCAAAAAACTTATGAAAGATGACCATCTAGAGATAATTAAATATTCTGTCTATAAATATCTAATTGTTAAATATGTTCTATTATTTCTTTTTTCAGCTACGAAATGCTGGCGGTTGAGAGTGAGATAGTGAGTGAGGAGTCAAATTTGACTTTTGATGAGGATGACGCTAATGATAGGTACTATTTAAAGTTATTATCTTTAAGACATCATAATATTTGTATTTTAAACTACTTTAAATATTCAACAATATTTGCTGCATATTAGTACACAAAATAATACCATGGAAAAGAATTCGAAATTTTTATTTTTTTGCATTTGGCACTTTTGTATGATGTGCTACCTATTGCAATTTTTTTTTAAAAATAAATTATGCTTATTAGTTTTTTAAATTTTATTCATTCATACAATTAGCACTAAAATAAAAAAATAAATCAAAGAAATCTATTCTAAATAACTTACGATGTTTTTTTTAATTGCACGGCAGAATATTACTTTTGCATACATATTTTTATATGGGAATTAGTTAGAAACATACATGTAAAATATTTTTAAATTATGCAAATTAAATTAATTTGCTGTTGTGCGAGATAGTTAAATATCAAAAGTTTATACGATCATAAAAGGAAAACGCAAAAACAATGAAAAAAAAATTCTCACATGTATGTCATGCATTAAAATTGAAGCAGCTATATAATGTGATAATTTCATTTTTTATCTTTAGCGATGATATGGAAGAACTGAGTGCAGAAATAGAGCATTCGGAGTCTTCTACAACTGATGATGAAGATGGTGAGATTTTGGATAGGTAATCTATTTATCTTTTATTTTATTATTATTGCGATAATTGTCTTCAATGAGATTTTAAATATTTGGCGATTTTCTGTATGATATATTGATTATTGATACTATTGACTATTGATATATGATATATTGATACTATTAAACATGTTCATGTATGTCATGCATTAAAATTGAAGCAACTATATAATGTGATAATTTCATTTTTTACCTTTAGCGATGATATGGAAGAACTGAGTGCAGAAATAGAGCATTCTGAGTCTTCTACAACTGATGATGAAGATGTTGAGATTTTGGATAGGTAATCTATTTATCTTTTATTTTATTATTATTGCGACAATTGTCTTTAATAAGACTTTAAATATTTAGCGATTTTCTATACGA